GGTCATCCAGTCCAGCCCCCTGCTCAAGCAGGAGACCCTACGCAGATAGTCCTCGACTTACAACGGTTCGTTTAGCGACCGCTCCAATGACCACGGCCCTGAAAAACGTGACTGGCGACCGTTGTTCACAGCGGCGACCGTCGCAGCATCTCCCATGGCCACGTGATCCAAATTCAGACCCACGGCCACTGACTCACATTTACGACGGTCGCAGTGGCTCGGGCTCCTGGCCATCCCCTTTTAACGACCTTCTGCCAAGGAAAGTCCACCGGCGATGCCGGATTCTCTTAGCGCCGGTGGGAAGGAGGATCGCGAACGGGGGCATAATGCAAGACTTAACATATGTCTCGCTTAGCGACGGAAATGTTGGATCCAGTTGCGGTCGGAAGCCCAGGACTGCCTATGTAACAATGGGCCTAAGGGCAGCATATATAAGAAGATATAAGAATGAAATATTTAGTATTTAGAAGTTCCGAATTTTGATCACGTGACCCCGGGATGCTGCGACCGTCGTAAATACGAGTCGGTTGCTCAGCGTCTGAATTTTTATCCCATGACCCTAGGGATGGCTGCAAAGGTCATAAGGGCGACACACAGTCATAAATCCCACTGTAGTTTCAAACGGTCACTAAATGAACCGTCGTAACTCAAGGACTGTCTCAAATCGTGCTGTGTTGTGGATAACCTGGAAAATGCCTGTTAGTTTTTCCCTTGATGTCGTTGTAGCAAGGAGAGTCCTGTTACTCCATAAAACCCCAAAATCAAGAGAAGTCTAATAATGGGAAGTCCTCGACTTACGACGATTCGCTTAGTGACTGTTAGAACCTCTAACGGCGCTGAAAAAAAAGAGACTTTCGCCTGGTGTTTCACGTGTTTGATTTGATTTAATTTAATTTGATTTAATAATTTTTAATTGAACGTAACTGAAATTAATTTAATTTTTAACTTCACATGACTTTAATTTAATTTAATTTAATTTAACTGGAATTAAATACATTTAATGTTTGTTAACATACCTTAACAATTTGATTTTGATTTGATTTGATTTAATTTAATTTAATAATTTTTAACTGAACATAACTGAAATTAATTTAATTTTTAACTTCACATGACTTAACTAATTTACTTTAATTTAATTTATTTAACTGGAATTAAATTAATTTAATTTTTAACTTAACATACCTTAAACATTTGATATAATTTAATTTAATTTAATAATTTCAATTGAACCTGAAATTACATTAATTTAATTTTTAACTTCACAACTTAACTAATTTAATTTAATTTCTAACCGAAATTAATTTAATTTAATTTTTAACTTAACAACTTAGTCACTGAATTTAATTTCCCATGATTTCTCATTTAATTTAACTGAATTTCTAACTGAACTTAATTTAATTTTTAACTTAACAACTTAGCAATTTAATTTAATCCTTTATTTTTTAACTTAACGTGACTTACCTTCCGTTAATTTAATTTAATCTTTTTGCTGGACGTCGGAACTTCACAACTTCGTTTAATTGAATTCATTTCATTTTTAACTTAACCTAACTTCACCAAATTTAAATTCTTAACCCAACTTAATTGCCAACGGCACTACCAGACTTAGCTCGGTTTTAAGCTGGCATTGGAAAAACTTCAAATCCATCCCCCAGGGTATCAATAATAATAATAGTAGTAGTAGTAGTAGTAGTAGTAGTAGTAGTAGTAGTAGTAGTAGTAGTGGTAGTAGTCGTAATAATAATAAAGTTGGAAGGGACCTTGGGGGTCATTGAGTCCAACCCCCTGCTCAGGCAGGAAACATAGTAATAATAATAATAATAATAATAATAATAATAATAATAATAATAATAATAATAATAATAATGTTGGAAGGGATCTTGGAGGTCATCTAGTCCAACCCCCTGCTCAGGCAGGAAACATAATAATAATAATAATAATAATAATAATAATAATAATAATAATAATAATAATAAAATTAGAAAGGAACCTTGAAAGTCATCTAGTCCAATCCCCTGCTCAGACAGGAAATAATAATAATAATTAGTAATCATAATAATCATAATAATAAAGTTGGAAGGGACATTGGAGGTCATCTAGTCCAACCCCCTGCTCAGGTAGGAAACAACAACAATAACAACAATAATAATAAAGTTGGAAGGGACCTTGGAGGTCATCTAGTCCAACCCCCTGCTCAGACAGGAAATGTAATAATAATAATAATTAATAATCATAATAATCATAATAATAAAGATAGAAGGGACTTTGGAGGTCATCTAGTCCAACCCCCTGGTCAGGCAGGAAACAACAACAACAACAATAATAAAGTTGGAAGGGACCTCGGAGGTCATCCAGCCCAACCCGCTGCTCAGGCCGGGCACCCTATCCCATTTGGGACGAACGGCCACCCAGTCTCTCCTTCAAAACCTCCCGCGTTGGAGCCTTCCCCGCTTCTGGAGGCGGGTAGTCCCGCCGGTGACCTGTCCTCGCCGTCCGGAAGCTCCATCCTTAGCTCCAGGTGGCTTCAGATAGACTGCGCCCCGCCCTGCAGGAGGAGGCTTCGTAGCCGTGCGGAAGGGAGCCGGGACGGGGACGGGGACGGGGGGGATTGCGCGGGATCGGTCACAGACCTCGGGTCCCTCTTTTTTCCCGCCCCCCCCCCCTGCAGGTGCAACACCCAGGACTACATCTGGCACAAGGGTCTCAGGTGCGAGTCCATCGTGACCGACTTCCAGGTGATGTGCGTGGCGGTGGGGTCGGCCGCCCTGGTGGTCCTGCTCCTCTTCATGATGACCGTGGTCTTCGCCAAGAAGCTCTACCTGCTCAAGACGGAGAACCTGAAGCTGCGGAAGAGCAAGTGAGTGGGAGGGGAGGGGCTCCACCCCCCCCAAAGGGACCCCCCCTCCTTCCTTCCTTCCTTCCTTCCTTCCTTCCTTCCTTCCTTCCTTCCTTCCTTCCTTCCCTCTCCTCCCTCCCTTTCCTTCATCGCTTCCTCCCTCCCCTGCTCCCTTGTGCCCTCCCTCCCTTTTTTCCTTCCCTCCTTCCCTCTCCTTCTTTCCTTCCTTCCTTCCTTCCTTCTTCCCTGCCCCCCTCCCCTGCTGCCTTGTGCCCTTCCTCTCTTCCCTCCCTCGCTTCCTTCTTTTTTCCCCTCCCTCTCTCCCGCCCTCCTTGCCTCTCCTCCCTCCCTCTCCTTCCTTCCTTCTTTCCTTCCTTCCTTCCTTCCTTCCTTCCATCCCTCCCTCCCTCCCTCCCCTTCCTTCCTACCTTCTTCCTTTTCTTCTTCCTTCCTTCCTTCCTTCTTCCTTTTCTTCTTCCTTCCTTCCTTCCTTCCTTCCCTCCCTCTCCTTCTTCCCTCCCTGCCTCCCCTGGTCCCTTGCACCCTTCCTCTCCTCCCTTGCTCCTTCTCCTTCCTTCCTTCCTTCCTTCCTTCCTTCCTTCCTTCCTTCCTTCACTCCTCAATCCCTCCTCTATCCTTCTTCCCTCCCTCCTTCCCCTGACCCTTGCACCATATTCCCTCCTCCCTTGCTCTTCTCTTCCTTCCTTCTTCTCTCCTTCCTTCCTTCCTTCCATCCCTCCCTCTCCGTTCCCTCCCTCTTCCCCTGACCCTGCACCCTTCCTCTCCTTCCCTTGCTCCTTCCCCCGCCTCTTCATTCCTCCTCCTTCCTTCCTCCTTCCTTCCCTCCCTCTCCTTTTCCTCCCTCTTCCCTCTTGATCCCTTGCACCCATCACTCTCCTCCCTTGCTCCTTTCTCCTTCCTCCATCCTCCTTCCTTCCTTCCTTTCCTGCATTCTTCATTTCATTCATTCATTCATTCCATCCTTCTCTTCCTTCCTTCCTTCCTTCCTTCCTTCCTTCCTTCCTTCCTTCCTTCCTTCCCTCCCTCTCCTTCTTCCCTCCCTCCTTCCCCGGTCCCTTGCACCATTCTTCTCCTCCCTTGCTCTCTCTCCTTCCTTCTTTCCATCCTTCCTTCCCTTCCTTCCTTCCTTCCCTCCCTCCCTCCCTCTCCTTCTTCCCTCCCTCCTTCCCCGGTCCCTTGCACCGTTCTTCTCCTCCCTTGCTCCCTCTCCTTCCTTCCTTCCTTCCTTCATTCCTTTCCTCTCCACCTTCCTTCCTTCCCTTCCTTCCTTCCTTCCATCCCCCCCTCCCCCTCCTTCCTACCGTACCCTTCCCTACTTCCTTCTTCTCCTCCGCTGCCTTGCACCCTATCTCCCTCCCTCCCTCCCTCCCTCGCGCTTCCCCTTCCTTTACCTCCCTCCCTCCCCTGTTTCATCGCAGCCCCTCCCTCCCCTCCCTTTTCTCCCCTCCCTCCCTCCCTTTCTCTATTCTTTCATCCCTCCTTCTCCTTCCTCCTCCTGCTTTCCCCTCAACAACAACCTTGCGAGGTGGCTTGGTCTGAAAGAGAGAGAGAGAGAGAGAGGGAGGGAGGGACTGGCCTAAAGTCACCCCCCCAAGCTACCCCCGCCGGGGGGGGGTGACCCCTGCAGTCAGATACCAATAAGACCCCCCCCCTCGCTTAAGGCACCGGAGCCGGCAGGCCGATGTTCCCCTGGTCCGCAGCTGCCCGTCGTGACGTTTACGCCCGGACGGCCTTTCGGAGGACACAGTCGGCCGTTGTGTGGGACAAAACCGCACAACCGCTTCCAAAGGCTGGGCGGGTTCTCCTTTGGGGGGGGAGTCATCTCCAAGGGCAGCCCCAGAGACAGAGAGAGCGGTAGCAGTCCAGCCGAGGGGGGGTCATCAAAGTGTGGATTGCGGTCTGCAGGGCCTCGTCCTGGCCTACAACGGGTTGTATGGGGTGCCTCAGTCCGGTTGAGGTTCCTCACCCGGTTCCTCGCCGGGGACCTTGTGGTTGTCACCGGGGATCACCGGGGACCTTGGGGGTTTCTTATGAGGGATCTTGTGGTTCCTCACCGGGGATCTTGTGGTTCTCACCAGGGACCTTGGAGTTTCTTACGAGGAATCTTGTGGTTCCTCACCGGGGATCTTGTGGTTCTCACCAGGGACCTTGGAGTTTCTTATGAGGAATCTTGAGGTTCCTCACCAGGGACCTTGTGGTTCTCACCAGGGATCATCGGGGACCTTGGGGTTTCTTATGAGGGATCTTGTGGTTCCTCATCAGGGACCTTATGGTTCTCACCGGGGATCATCGGGGACCTTGGGGTTTCTTACGAGGAATCTTGAGGTTCCTCACCGGGGATCTTGTAGTTCTCACCAGGGACCTTGGAGTTTCTTACGAGGAATCTTGAGGTTCCTCACCGGGTATCTTGGGGTTCTCACCAGGGACCTTGGAGTTTCTTACGAGGAATCTTGAGGTTCCTCACCGGGTATCTTGTGGTTCTCACCAGGGACCTTGGAGTTTCTTACGAGGAATCTTGAGGTTCCTCACCGGGTATCTTGTGGTTCTCACCAGGGACCTTGGAGTTTCTTACGAGGAATCTTGAGGTTCCTCACCGGGGATCTTGTAGTTCTCATCAGGGGCCTTGGAGTTTCTTACGAGGAATCTTGAGGTTCCTCACCGGGGATCTTGTGGTTCTCACCAGGGACCTTGGAGTTTCTTACGAGGAATTTTGAGGTTCCTCACCGGAGATCTTGTAGTTCTCACCAGGGACCTTGGAGTTTCTTACGAGGAATCTTGAGGTTCCTCACCAGGGACCTTATGGTTCTCACCGGGGATCATCGGGGACCTTGGGGTTTCTTACGAGGAATCTTGAGGTTCCTCACCGGGGATCTTGTAGTTCTCATCAGGGACCTTGGAGTTTCTTACGAGGAATCTTGAGGTTCCTCACCGGGGATCTTGTAGTTCTCACCAGGGACCTTGGAGTTTCTTACGAGGAATCTTGAGGTTCCTCACCGGGTATCTTGGGGTTCTCACCAGGGACCTTGGAGTTTCTTACGAGGAATTGAGGTTCCTCCACCGGGCTATCTTGTGGGTTCTCACAGAGACCTTGGTAAGTTCTTACGAGGAATCTTGAGTGCCTCACGGGTATCTGTGGTTCTCACAGGGACCTTGGATTTTTCTACGAGGAATCTTGAGGTTCCTCACGGGATCTTGTAGGTTCCATCAGGACCCTTGGAGTTTCTTACGAGGAATTATTGAGGTTCCTCACCGGGGGATTTGTGGTTCTCAACAGGGACCTCCTTGGAGTTCTTACGAGGAATCTTGAGGTTCCTCACCGGGGATCTTGTAGTTCTCACCAGGGACCTTGGAGTTTCTTACGAGGAATCTTGAGGTTCCTCACCAGGGACCTTATGGTTCTCACCAGGGATCATCGGGGACCTTGGGGTTTCTTACGAGGAATCTTGAGGTTCCTCACCGGGGATCTTGTAGTTCTCATCAGGGACCTTGGAGTTTCTTACGAGGAATCTTGAGGTTCCTCACCGGGGATCTTGTGGTTCTCACCGAGGATCATCGGGGACCTTTGGGTTTCTTATGAGGAATCTTGAGGTTCCTCACCAGGGATCTTGTAGTTCTCACCAGGGACCTTGGAGTTTCTTTCGAGGAATCTTGAGGTTCCTCACCAGAGATCTTGTAGTTCTCACCAAGGACCTTGGAGTTTCTTATGAGGAATCTCGAGGTTCCTCATCAGGGACCTTGTGGTTCTCACCGAGGATCATCGGGGATCTTGGGGTTTCTTACGAGGAATCTTGAGGTTCCTCACCAGGGACCTTATGGTCGCTCACCGGGGACCTTGTGGTTCTCACCGGGGACCCTGTGGTTGCTCACTGAGGACCTTGGGGTACCTCACCATCTCCTGAGTTTCTCAACTCAACCTTTGACCTTCTCCCATCCCTCTCCTGGACTACTAGACCACCAAGGTCCCTTCCAATTCTTCTGTTCATCTCTAATGCATCTCCTTCCTTCCTTCCTTCCTTCCTTCCTTCCTTCCTTCCTTCCTTCCTTCCTTCCTTCCTTCCTTCCTTCCTTCCTTCCATCTTCTCCGCCTCGATAACTCTGGAGCTAAACCTCCATCCATCTTCCCAGGTGTCGTCTTCTTCTTCTTCTTCTTCTTCTTCTTCTTCTTCTTCTTCTTCTTCTTCTCCTCCTCCTCCTCCTCCTCCTTCTTCTCCTTCTCCTTCTCCTCCTTCTCCTTCTCCTTCTCTCCTCCTCCTCCTCATCGTTAATAATAATAATAATAATAATAATAATAATAATAATGTTGGAAGGGACCTTGGAATGTCCTTCTTCTTCTCCTTCTCCTCCTTCTCTTTCTCTTTCTCCTCCTCCTCCTTCTCCACCACCTCTTCCTTCTTCTTCTTCTTCTTCTTGATCTTCTTCTTCTTCTTCTTCTTCTCCTCCTCCTCCTCCTTCTCCTTCTCCTCTCCTTCTCTCCTCCTCCTCCTCCTCATCATTAATAATAATAATAATAATAATGTTGGAAAGGACCTTGGAATGTCCTTCTTCTTCTTCTCCTCCTCCTTCTCTTTCTCTTTCTCCTCCTCCTCCTTCTCCACCACCTCTTCCTTCTTCTTCTTCTTCTTCTTCTTCTTCTTCTTCTTCTTCTTCTTCTTCTTCTTCTTCTCCTCCTCCTCCTTCTCCTTCTTCTCCTCTCCTTCTCTCCTCCTCCTCCTCCTCATCGTTAATAATAATAATAATAATAATAATAATAATAATAATGTTGGAAGGGACCTTGGAATGTCCTTCTTCTTCTTCTCCTTCTCCTCCTCCTTCTCCTCCTCCTTCACCACCCTTCTTCTTCTTCTTCTTCCTCTTCTTCTTCTTCTTCTTCTTCTTCTTCTTCTTCTTCTTCTTCTTCTTCTTCTTCTTCTTCTTCTTCTTCTTTTTCTTCTCCTCCTCCTCCTCCTTCTCCTTCTTCTCCTCTCCTTCTCTCCTCCTCCTCCTCATCGTTAATAATAATA